ATATTTTAAATATACAGAAAATGAGAGCATTTTTATCATGAATAATCTCAAATGTTGGTGTCATACATCACTCAAACTAATTTATTTAATTCTAATTATTTAATTCACTTCGAAATGAAGTAGTAAAGTATCAATGTAAAGTTTAAAATATTATACTATAAGACAATAAAATATATACTATAAGACAATAAAATATAACTATAAGACAATAAAACATATTAAACTTTACTATGTGGCTGCTATTACTGGGGAGAAAATTAATGGTCCTAAAAAAAAGGGTCTTTGAAAAGAAAAACTTATGTAAATTGGATTAGCAAATAGATTATCTGAAAATTAAATATGTTCTAATAGAGTCCTAGAGTTATGAAAATATGTATATTCAAATTTGTATCAATGAAAAACTTTTTGGAAATCTGGAAAAAGATAAAAAAAATAGCTGGAATTCAGGATATACCCAGCAAAAGATAAATTCTGAAGATATCAAAAATAGCCTTAACACTTTAGCTCTTAACCGTCCTAAGCTGAAGGAGTTTATTTGTGGATTCCATTTATTGTTTAAGGATGCTATAAAAGTGATCAATAAGTTCATTCAAGATTTTATTGTAGCTACAGAGATATCCTTTAAAATTTTGTTATTGTAGTAATTTCAATAAAGTCTAAAAATATTTTCCTAAAAGTATGACCAAAACAAAGCTTGGAAACTGCTGAAAATTTGTTTATTATGTTTTAAAACAATATAATCTTTGATGTGCTAAGAAATATTACATTTAATATCATTTATTTTTATTTGCAGATAATCAAATCAACTTTAAATAGTGGCAACAACAATTGCATATATTTACTTATAGATTTTTATATCTTATTGGTTTTTAATTTCATATGAAAAGAAAACTCATGTAACTATGATGGATTAATAGTTTAAATATATATGAGGCTTCATATTAATATTTGTTGAGGACTCTTAATTGTATTTTAACATTCCGTGTAAATATTGTTTTATCAGCAAAAACCAAAATATTAGAGTTAATTTTTTTAACATCTAACTTTAATTTTGTTTGAAATACATTTTTCATAGGGCGAAACTTTATTGTTTTAATTAAATGCAATAGGTCATTTTCAAAATTTTCCAAATCAGGTATGAAAGATGGGGTATTTTTTGTTTTAAATCCATAATTATCATTATCTTGGTTATTATTAAATATATCATCTGTGTTTGTATTTGGTTTTAAGAAAAAATGCGCTTCCCAACGAATTCTTTTTATAAAATGCTCAACTTTTTCAATCAAAGAAATAGTATAACTTTTTTTCATCTAGTGTAGGTATATTTTTCAATGAGTAAGTGAAGTTATTAGTTTCCATATTCCACACTTACCAACTCACAACAGAAAACTATGAAAAAATTATACGCAACAATATTACTAGTTCTTATAAGAAAGCCCCTAAAAATTTGGAAAACGCAATTAATTTAGAAGCGCAAAGTATTGCTAAAAAAATAAACCTTGATAACAGAATCGAATCAACTGCTCCTGCACAAGCCTTTGTAACATTAGAAGACCATAAACCAAATTTTCTAAACAAACTTCCTTGTAGGTTATTGGTTCCCTCAAAAAGTGAGATTGGACATGTAAGCAAAATTAAGTTGGACAAAATTAATAATATTCCTAGAAATAAATTAAGTTTGCAACAGTGGAAAAATACCACTGATGTTATAAATTGGTTCTCCATAATCGAAAATAAAAATACTGTACATTTATTCAATTTGACATTAATGATTTTTACCCCTCAATAACTGCAGATATTTTAGATAAAAAAATTGAATTTGCAAAAAGCCATACAGTTATTCCTGAAAAAACAATCCGCATAATAAAATATTTTAGCAAAACTTTACTTTATTTTAATAAGGAAACTTGGAAAAAAAAAACATACATGCTTTGATGTAACAATAGGCAGTTATGACGGAGCAGAAATTCGTGAATTTGTTGGACTAGATATTTTAGATTTATTAAGTAAAATAATCAATATAAATGATTTAGGTCTTCATCGTGACTATGGTATAATAGTGATGCGAAAAAAATCTGGTCCACAGCTTGATAAAATTAGAAAAGATATAAAAAATTTTAAAAATATTGGCTTTCAAATCGAAATAAACATAAATTTAAAAATTGTTAACTTTCTTGATGTCACATTTAATCTCTCTGAAAATTCATATAAGCTTTTCAAAAAACAAAACGATGAATTATTGTATATTAATATTGACTCAAATCATCCACCCCAAATTCTAAAACAAATCCCGATTTCAATTAATAACAGGCTTAACTAAAACTCCTCTAATGAAAATATATTTAATTCCTCTAAACAAATATTTGAAGATGCCCTTAAAAAAAGTTGTTTAGAAAATTTTGAATTAAAATTTGACCCTGAAAAAAAGAATACAAAAAAGGGAAATAGAACTAGAAATAAAATTCGGTTTAACCCCCCATATAGCAAAAATGTTTCCACTAACATAGGAAAAATGTTTTTAAAATTGATCGATAAGCATTTCCCTCCCTCTAATAAATTACATAAAATTTTCAATCGAAATAGAATTAAAGTTAGCTACAGTTGCACAAAAAATATGGAAAGAATTATAAAAGGTCACAACAATTCTTTGTTAAACAAAAATGAAATCCAAAATGAAAAAACTACAGAAAATTGTAATTGTAAACAAAAAAACAATTGTCCAATGAGTGAAAGCTGCTTATCAAAAAATGTGGTATATAAATGTGTTGTTTCCTCTAAGAATGTACCTGATAAACAATATATTGGCATAACAGAGGGTGAATGGAAAAAACGTTTTGCCAATCATAAGCAATCTTTTAAAAATAAAAAGTATTCAAAAGACACCATGCTGTCAAAAGATTTATGGGAACTAAAAGATTGATGATTTTATACTGAATTGGTCCATCCTTAAAACAGCGCCTGCATATAAGAATATTTTCAAAAAATGCATACTATGTCTACACGAAAAATTTGAAATAATTACACATGCAAACCAAGAATGTTTATTAATCAAAAAATCAGAATTAACTTCTAAATGCAGACACAAAAATAAGTTTCTCCTGAAAAACTATAAAAATAAGTGAGCTCAAATAATAGTTGCATTAAATCCCCCCCTCCCCCTTCAAAATATATTTTTTTAAAAACCTTAAGTTATCGTTTCTAAAAAATTCTTTTTAAAACTGTGTCAGCAAATTACACAAATGTGTGAAAAATTACAGTAGTAAAGACATGCAACTTCCTGTAATTTAATTTTTGGTATAAATTGAAGTTTTACTAATTTGATCATTCATTTCTGATGAGTTTTTATTGATGGAGTGTTATATATATATATATATATATATATATATATATATATATATATATATATATATATATATATATATATATATATATATATATATATATATATATGTATATATATATATATATATATATGTATATATATATATATATATATATATATGTATATATATACACATCATGTATATATATACAAAAATTATTTATATTTACGTATGTATATACATATGTATACATACTTATGTATATATATATATATATATATATATATATATATATATTCATGCTTGTGCATGTATAATACATGTACATGTATGAATATATACATATATATATATATATATATATATATATATATATATATATATATATATATATATATATATATATATGTATATATATATATATATATATATATATATATATATATATATATATATATGTATATATATATATATATCTATGTATATACATACATAAGTATGTATACATATGTTTATACATACATAAATATACATAATTTTTTGTTGTAAATATGTTTGTCATATATAGTAGAATAAATGCTATTATAGTTATCTCTGATGCTTTATGGGTAAAATTCACTAAAGTAATAGAAAAAGGATCAATTCATAAAGTAAAAAAATAACCTTTTTGAGCAAACCCAGCATCTTTTGCATAAACAGAGAATTTTACATTCATGTGTCGTTCATGAAATTCAATTGCATTCTGAGCTCTTTTACTGTTTTATCAGAAATTGTATTGAGCGTTTTAGTTAAATCTACAATTTAAAAATTTAACATGTTAATTTTAAATTTAACATGAGGAGAACAGGTTGATATATATATATATATATATATATATATATATATATATATATATATATATATATATATCAACCTGTTCTCCTTAATTTAAATTGATATTTAATTGATATATTATTATTAATAAATATTGATAATTATTAACATAACTGCTTTTTTCGCAATAAATTATTATAAAATATGAAAAATATAATTATATTAAATATTCAAACTAAAAAAACTATAAAAACCTTTATTTGCTTCATCCATTTTTCCATTCATAGAATAAACATCAAATACATTTTTTAAAAGTCACATTGTAAATGCCGTATTTGGGTCTAGAATTTTTAAAAACTGTTCAAACAGCACTTTGACGGATTGGATTTAGCGTTTCCCTTTTATGATACTGCAAAATTTATCATTTTAAGTTTTTTTGTCTTTTCATAATTCACAGACCAGACCATTTAACGGAAAAATGTCGCAGTCAACAAAAGATCATACAGACGCTCTATTATTTTAAAAGTGCCTTAACTACACCGAGTGGTTGTGAAACTACGTTTCTTAATAATTATTAGGTTATTTTCTAAAACAAATTTCTGTAACATTTCACTAATTTTTCTTGATTAAAAATGTAAAACATGTGCTTTTCTATTTTTGAACATGTTTAAAGCATTTTGGTTTTTGTGTAAATTTCAAGGTTAAAAAAATATAAAGTAGAAAAAAAAAAAAAAAAAAAAGTAGGAAGATCTGAAACAGAGTAAAATTTAAAGTGATAAAATTGAAACTTGTAAAACCTGACTGTTAAAGTTATCAATCCAAGTTTTCTGAAATTTCTCCACAAAAAAATTATCAATGACATACCTTAATAAAAAGCTTTTATTTTCATTGTTTAAAAAAAAATAACTAAAAAATTCTATGACATAACATAATATTGCTTAAAAATTATATCTTTTAGATTTTTATCATAAAAGAATATAGCAATGTCCAAAGCACGAAAGTCCTTTTTATTCCGCTTACAAATTAGTCGACCGTTCAATGTATCTCCGGATTTAATAGTAAAGGGTTCTTTAAGAAAAAAAACAGTTTGCTTCCAATGGGTAGGCAAGTCAAAGGGACTAGTACTCATCTTAATCGGAGTTTCTGATTGGTTATCGAACTCCACATTAAAATAGCCAACAAGAGCGGACATAATTCCATCACTAATAAACTCCAAGATAAAACATTGATCGAACTCTAGTTGAGCTCTATTTACTTTCATTAAATCAAAATTTATAAGCTCATATGATTTGGATACAACAAAATCAGATCTTACAACTTCAATTAAAGGTTCTTCAAAAACATTCTTCTTCATTGAAGACATCTTAAATCCATAAACATTATCCCAATAAACTATTTTATTTTTATACAAATCTGCATCATGAATACCAAGCAATTGAATGTTGCATTTGTTTGGATACACACATCCACCTTCTTTCAAGTAATGGTCACGACAATATAAAACAGTATCCAGCATGCTTTCAAATAAAAGAAAGTACCCCATCCATTCAGAAACAATAACATCAAATTTTTCATCCAAAATCAGGTCCTCGGCTTTTCCTTTTACAATCGTTATAGAATTTTCCATATGGTTTTCTCTAACAATATCCATTGCTTGGTACGCTACCTCAGAATAATCAACTCCAACAACCTGATGTGCGCCTATTTAAAATAAGATAACTATAAAATAAAATAACTATTATCAAATTAGAAATTGTAAAGAATTCAATATTATTAAAATAAAAAAACAGGTGTCTCAGGTGCTTAATACAAGGTGGGGTGGTAATAATAATTGTCTAAATCTAATAAACGAGAAAGGGGAGAGGGGAAATTTTATTTTTATCAGTGAGTTTATATTTTCTATTTTTAAGGCAGGTTTTTTGTCAATTGCAAGTAAAAATTAAAAAACAGGGAAGTGAGAATTTAATAAGCATTGTTTAGCAGTGTGTTTAAATTTAAGTTAATTTGTTTTTGTTTTCATTTAAAAACAATCCTACTTACAAAAATAAACTGATTAACTTTAATCCTTATGTCAAAGTAAAGTTTAAAAAAACTAATTGTAATTCAAAAAACTTAACACTTATTTTGGAAAGATACAAGGAATTGTAGATGATTTTTTTTGAAAGCTCTAACTTTAAAACAGCAATATAGAATAAAAAACAGCAATATAGAATAAAAAACAGCAATATAGAATAAAAAACACTTATTTTTTAAACAAACTCCCTATATTTACATAAATAAAAATAAACAGTTTAAAAATTAAAATTATAACAACAAACATTGAACTTTTTTTTAATTCAAAAAAATGTGCGAAATGGGGCAATTCTACCCCTTTTAAATCATTTTTTAAAATAGCATAGGATATTAAAATTTGTACATTAAAACATCAAAATTAAAAAAAAAAACATAAAAAAAAAAAAAGATTTAAATGCATAAACAGTCAGGAAATAATTTTCATTTGATAAAAAAAAAATTATGCTCTTAACAAAAAAAGAAAAAAAAAAAAAGATTAACGCGGAATGCATTTTCTACAATAGAAATCAGAACTGTCAGCTTGTCTTGCCCCATGACTAAAATTAGTTGAAATTAAGTTTAATATTATTTCTTTTACTAAATACAAATGTTGTTGCTTCATAATTAACATGTTGCTCAAGTTTGTTAACAAGCAAAAGTTCAAATTTTCATTTTTAAAGAGTCACCATCTGAAAGAAGGGGGGGTGGGGGTGGGGACTGGAATTTCCTAGAGCTATTATTTCGATTTTAATTCATTTATACAAATAAAATACTTAAATACAGAACCTAAATACAGTTGTTCAATAAAATAAAAATACACATTAAACACATATGAAACAATAATAAATGAGTTATATTAGTAAAAATATTTTAATTTTTTTTTCTAAAAGTGTAAATATGGTACTTACATCGCAGATGAATTCTGATTTCCAAAAAAAAGTCTTTTAAAAAAGTTTCTATAGCAGTGTGAACAAAGGAAGTATACACATTAAGAGTAACAGTAGGAATTTGTCAATGAATAACAGGAAGAGTTTTCGCCCCATCTTACCCTATATCGCTCTATTTGAAATATCTTTTTAATAATGCGCACTCTTTTACGACTATGAGTTTTGTTTTATTATTATAATACAAAACAACCTTAAATATCAATATATATATATATATATATATATATATATATATATATATATATATATATATATATATATATATATATATATATATATATATATATATATATATATATATATATATATATATATATACAGGGTTCCCACTATTAAAACTAAGGCTAAAATTAAGGATTTTAAGGAGATTTAAGGAGATATTTTCCTAATATTTAAGGAGATTTGGTCGCGAACGACATTTTTTTGAAAGAAAAAGTAAAGATAATTAAGGAGAAAACGATTACATTAAAAATATAATCTTATTTTTTTCAATAAATTTTATATATAAACAGAGAAATTATTATTACTTTTTTTTAAAGGTTATTGAAGGACATTTAAGGAGGTTTTTGACCATGCAAGTTACATTTTGCTATGAGGGTTTGACCGTTTGTTTTTATATTAGTGAAACGATTTTAAATAAAGTAACAATTTACTGAAAAAAAGTTTTGTTTTTTAAATATAATTGACAGTTGTATATATTTTTTTAATTTAAAACATAAATTGTATAAGTGTTCATTTCTAAAATAAATTTTATTAAAAAATAAAAAATAATTTTGTTTTTATAAACGATGACATTCTACCACTACGAAAGTCTCTTTAACGAATTTAAATATAACAATGATTAAAGTTAATGCATTTAAAAAGATAAACAAAATTTCGTTGAAAAAAAAAGTTTTAGAAAACCGTTACAATTTAATAAGTTTGATCTTAAATGCTTTTATATTATCGAAACGCTTTTAATGAAGTAAAAAAAAAAAACACTTCTAATTAATTTAAAAAAAAAGTATTTATAAAATGTTTTTTTATTTTATTTATGTAACTATGTATTTTATATTTATTTATGTAATATGAGAAATATTTAACTTTTGAACATATTAAATAAATATAAAATATATAAAAATGTTGAAACAAAGATTGAAAAGGATTTTTAATGCATAAATTAAATAGACTAAGCATTTTAGTTTGATGAGTTTTGTTTTAGTTGCCTTATATATATATATATATATATATATATATATATATATATATATATATATATATATATATATATATATATATATATATATATATATATATATATATATATATATATATATATATATATATATATATATATTTTTTGTGTTTTTGCTTTAACTAAGTGTTTTTTTTTATTTTTTCTTTCATTAATATTTATTATTTTTTAGATTTTTTTTTCAGATAAGTTTAGGTAAGTTTTTGTAGCGCGTTTTTAATTTTTAAAAATATGCCGTGGTCAAATCGTTAAAACATTATTTTTTGCGTGGTCATATAAAGACATGAAATTGCACATCTTCCTGTGAAAACCTGCAGTGCCGGGTACCTGGACTCGGACCCGGTATTTTCTTATGAGTACCCAGAATCGGGAACTTGATATAAACTGGTTTCAACACATTTTTAATGTATACAGGCTTGCACAGGAATGGCGTGCAATCAAGCACTATTGCTGACCATGTACCGACTGGTTCATTAAAAAAAAAAAAAAGTCCTTAAAACTAAAATTAACCCACTGAATTGTATCAAAATACCTGACTAGCCAACTTAATTCTTCAAAAAACCAACTATAACTTAAAAATCACCTTCTTTGGAGGGGAGTGGAACACCTCTCAACACCCAACCCCCTAAAATCGCCTTTGTATGCAATCATTACACATAAAAAATCTTTGTTTAACACTCAAAAATAATACACAATAAAAAATCTAATAAATATTTTATTCTTTGTATTTTGTGAATATTTTACGTCATAGTTGAGAAAAGTAAAAGCTAGAAACATGTTATACACAAGCTCAAAAAACAAGCTAACTCGGAAAACATCTATTTTTCGTTGTTTTACAAAAGTAATGTAAGCAAAAGTAACATAACAACTTGAGCATTTTATAGCTTTTTTTAAAAAAAATGTACAATTCTTAAATTGATTAACTTGATTATAAAAATTTGATTAAAAGATGTGCATTTTTTGCTTGTGGGTCTTTATTATTTTATATTTTTAGTTGAAATATTTAAAGAATACTACGATAATAAAACACATAATTTTGAAACATTCTATCAAACTATATAATAACTATAAGTTTATTGCAATAAAATTTTTTTGAAAATGTCTGGAAATTTTGAGCAAAATTTCCCTGAAAATTTCCGGAAGTTTTCAATCCTAATCATTTGCACTCCATATTTAATATATGATAACTGAGAAAATCTTTGCTAAAAATATTCATGGTTGTTAAGATATTGCCAGTTGAAATAATATTGATGAACATATAATTGATTCAACATTTTCATAGTTTTTAAAAGACAATAAAGCAAATTTGACATATAGTATCTTGATAATGGTTTGGAGGATTTTCCTAATATTCAGAATTCAAACTAATTATAGCTTAAGGAATTCAAAAATAATAAATCTCTAAGGACTTGAAAATTATTGATTTTTCCAGCAAAAATGAAGGCTGTCACAAATCTCTAGGGAAATGTTGATTGTATATCATACTTTATCTTAGGTCTACTGTAAAAAATTACATTCATGCAACAAATTCTGTAACAAAGGATATAGAAAGATTTTCTAAAAAATATTTGTAATCAAAATCTTAATAACTAGTTTAGAATATATTGTCATGTCAAATTGTCATGGGCAACTTCTCCCCACCTCCTACTCAGACTTTTTTTTATTACATAAAAATGTACTTATAGTGATTATTATTAAAATACAATTTAGAAACATAATTTAAGATAATGTTTTTGAGATTTTACAGTGATATGCTTGTATTATACATATATATTGTTTTGCTTGTATTTTAAATTTAATAAACTGTTTTGTTGCATTTGAATTCATTTTTGTTATTAATTTCAAATTGTTAAATGCCTCACACTTTGAATTATATTTGAAATAAACACTAAGGTGTTTTCAAAGTTTGAGTCAAGATTGTCTTTAACATGTGCAAGAATTTTATTATTTAGTTATTCTTTTAACTAGTGACATTTTAAACAGGGATGCGGAATCCGGAGTCTTGGGAGTCCGGAGTCTTGGGAGTCCATAAAAATTTTAGGACTCCGTGACTACTTTTTTTTTTATAGTTATTAATATGCTTAAGAAATACCTGATAGTCTTGTCACAAAACACTGTAAAAGAGCATTTGCCTGGAAAGCTCATCTTCTTCCTTACCAATTTGAGCCGATACTCAGATTGAGTATTGGTTCAAATTGGTAATCAAATAATACGCCTTGATAACCAAGGCGTTACCAAGCTCGCATTTTATGTGTGAAAAGGCCATATGCTTACGCGTTAAGCAATTTAACGTTAAAGAAAACTTTTATTTTTTAAAATATTTAAATCATATTTTGATATCGTTTATGTGATGTTTATTCAGAAAATATGTTGTAAGTAAAAGCATTTAACCGCAATTATGATCTAATAGATTTTTTGTTAAAGAAACAGTTTGTTTAATAAATTTTTTTTTGTTAAAATTAGTTAAC